CGCTATGTTAAAGCGTAATTGTAAAATACAGGAGAGGTGAGGTCTTGGCAACACTGATATGAACGGATCACCACGCTACCGAGATGGTGGTCCACTTTTGTAAGTAGTGAGGATTATGTATAAGTGACTTTCATTTAAGGCACTGTCCTGTTGCGTTCTGTGATACCAGCAAGATATCGGTCTGTCGACAGGTGAGCAAGATACCATGCCGCGTACTCTTTGGGCTAGAATACAGACGGTAGAAATCTCAAGGCCACATCCCCTTCTGCCAGGTGCCCCTATCTCGTGCTTTGCGAAGAGACTGTACGAACCATTGTGGAGACAACAGCTTTATATTCATAAGAATGTATAGATTACGCGAATAGGTGGTTCCTCATCCACACCCTCTCTGGCCAAATGCAATTCCTGTTGGACAGCGGACTGGTTTGCAATTAGAATCAAGTAATAATTAGGAAAGGCTAATAAATAGTACACCAAGCCTCTTATCCCATGACGTTAGCTGCCAGGCATCGTTCAGCCTTAGGTGGTGTTAAAGTTAGTTAATTAACTCAATGCAATGTACTGTGCAAATGCAACCATCTATGAGACGCTATCTTTGTTGAAATTAAAAGTCCTCCTGCTTCTAGGCAAAGTTAATGACTACCGTCTTTGTATCGTGGCTGTCTTTTAATGCACAGATGGCAGTGTGACAGTTATTGAAGAAGGATTTCAAAGATAAACGCTGCTAATGCCTCTTCACTCAAATATAAGAATCCTCAAATTCTTCCTTCTCCTCATTTTGTGCTACTGCCTGACTCTGCCCATTAGCTCACCTGCCCTACTCTATGTCAGTTGTACGTTGTCTTTTACATAAATGGGCCTTATCGAAGACTCCAAGGACTCCGCAAGCTGCACACAGCGTGTTCCAAGATAAAGGATTACATTCAGGAGTGCAAGACGAGGATATAACAGTACGAAAAGTAAGTAATTTTGGGAAGACGAAGGAAATGTTGTGGACAGACTTTGGTGACTGGAAAGTAGTGTGTCCATCAAATCAAAGCGTGGAAATTAGTGTGTGTGTGTAGAAATAATACGTAGTAACACAGGCGTCACAGCACCTCAATTAACGTCATCTTTGGCCTAAAATAAAATTATTATCAATGTCACATGTCTTTTTAGTAAAATGAAAAGTCGGAGCATTATTCGTGGTTCAAATGAGTCCACACATGAAACCATTGCGAATGT